GAAGCAACTTAGAACTGAGGAGAAATTTCCTAACAGACGTTGTAAATGCCCCAACACTGGGAGTCTTTAAGCTGTTGGATAGCCATTTGTCTGAAATGGTATAGGGTTTCCTGCCTAGGCAGGGGCTTGGACTAGAAGACCTCCAAGGTCCCTTCCAACTCTGCTATTTTATTGTATTGTATGTTTTTTAGACCGAATTTGGGTGTTTTGGGGCTTCCAAGCCCTTCACGCGTCACATTTTTGCCATCCCCAACCCCCAGAAATACTCTTCAGGCCAAAAATGGCAAAAACAGGACATTCAGAGCACTGCATAGTGCTTCTAGGGATCGGGGAGGGCAAAAACAGGACGCACGGAGGCCAAAAACTATTTTATTTCCTTGTTTTCCTCCTGTAAATTTAGGTGTGTCTTATAGCCTGAAAAATACAGTACGTTTAATTCATACCAGGCTAAGCCTAGATTCCTTTTAGAATTATGTTGGTTCTGTAACAAATGTATAGTTTCTAATTCTTGTTTGGTCAAGATTGGTTAAGATTGAAGATAACTTTCACCTAAGCCTGATACAGGAGCCATGGTGCCATAGTGGTTGGGATGCAGTACTTCAGGCTAATTCTGCAGGCTTATTCTTTCTACTGCCAGTAGTTTGATTCTTACTGGCTGAAGGTTGATTTTGCCTTCCATCCTTCAGAGGTGGGTAAAATGAGGACACAGATTGTTGGGGGCAGTATGCTAAGTCTGTGAACTACTTAGAGAGAGGGCTATAAAAGCACTATGATTTTTTTGATTTTTTTTGGGTGGGGAGGGGGAATGCCATGTCCCTATGATGTCTTCTTTATTTTGCTCTTAGTTTATAAGTCTTTCTTTTTTATGATAGCATCCATCTTGGAAAGAAGTCAGAATTGGGAGTACCTGGAACAGAGGCAAGAGAGATAGGACAGAGGTCAACTGCAAATGTCACATGTGGTTTTCTTCCAACTCTAAAAAGGGGTGGAGAGCATTTCAGCTCAGCAGGGGAATTTTCCTAAGAAGAGTTGGGCTTTAAATAGATGTCAGATTTTGCTTCCCTAAATATGCTGAATATCCAGTTAGAGGTAATGAAAAATAAAATCAAAAAGTGGCAGAAAAAACCCCCTCTATTCTAAGAAGAACTGGGAAAAAAATACTTGCTGTGAATTTTTTGTATTACTCATGTGCGGTGTCAAAATGAAACAAATGAATAAAAACAGGTTTTCACAGCTCTTTGTGTATATCTATAAAGGAAGATGAAAGACAGAGAAAATAATGTTGTAAACAAGGCACTTCCGAAATCATGTGTATTGTGGAGTACCTGGTGCTCTCTAGAGTTTCGTTGTTTGCTTGCAAACATTTCATAACCTGAAAAGACAACATCATGTGCACATGAGTGCATCATCCGAATGTGTGTTGTTTGGAACAAATATTGCATTAATTCATTAGCCTTAATGTATAGTAGCTCACGAAGAGGGTTTTTAGGATTAAAAGTGTTACAAATACATAAAGGTTTTGAAAGAAAACTGAATTGAGCTTTGGAGAAACAAGAGCTTGCAAAGATGGTCGAATATGTAAAGAATATGATCAAAATCTTTGTAAAGTAACTTTATCCAGAAACAATATTAAAAAATCAGTTTTCTAATAGAGATAAATGACATCTCAAATCAATCTGTTTTCAGTATACAAAGCTAAAGAAATGGAGCAAAAGGGCTGAGTATAGAATATAAGAAATGTGTACATGCTATTCCTGTCTTTGTTTGTTTTGCATGGATGTCCATTTTGAGATCCTCATAAACCAGAAGGTGTTTAATATCTGATGAAGATTTGAGTCAAGGAAATAAGATGGGTATTTAAATAGGACTGGGAGTTTCATAAGCAAGCTCATTGGGCCCTTTCAGCCCTATCATTCAGGGAAAATAATAGGAGCTTCTTAAGGTATCCTTGGTTAAAGACATGTTTGTTTAGTTTTTACAATTGTATTTTGTCTGAATTATTCTGTGACTGACGTCTCACAGAACGTTTAGACTAGGCCCGTGATGGTGAACCTATGGTACGTGTGCCACCTGTGGAGCCCTCTCTGCATGTATGTGAGCCGTTGTCCAGCTCAGTTCCACTGCACATGTGCATGAGCCTCCTACCAGCTGATATTCTGGTCAATCGCGCATGTGGGAGATGCGGGGTTGGGGGGAGCGGAGGGTGCGGTGACCCCCTCCGCGCTCCATTTTTGGTGGCAGGAGGCTTTAGGGAGGTCCTCCGGAGCCCAGGGGAGGAGGCCATTTTTGCCTTCCTGGAGGCTCGAGGAAAGGCACGTGCATGCGCAGGTGGGCAGGGTGCATTGCATTGTGGGTATGGTCACACAGTTTCAGCACGTGAGGTCAAAAAGGTTAACCATCACTGGACTAGGCATTAGGTTGTTTATAGTTGAGGGTGCTGTGACAATCTAGCCATTATTTTTTCAGGTTGCATGAGCCATTAACCAATAACAATAACATTTTATGCAACGACAGCAGTTGTGTTTTATAGACCCCGATTCAGGCTTTTATAATGTTGTGTGAATCCATCCTTTGAATAGAAAGTGATATACTGTTTGTTAACCTTGCTTTTTTCATTCTTCTTTGCCTCTCAAGAGGGGGAAGCCGAAGCTGAATGGCTGCAGGATGCAGGACTCTCTGACCTAATGAAGGACCATGAAGAGAATAGCAACATTGTCCTGCTGTCCACTTTGACCAAGACTCAGGCCGCAGCTGTGCAGCGAAGGTTGGATACTTACACCCGCTCCCGACGGAAGAAAAATAAGCAGCCCATCCGTGATGTCAGAGACATTTTTGGAGTAGTTGAGTCTGGGGTCCGTTCCTTTATATTGTCATTTTGCACCGTTCTCTTCCCTATTTCTAGTTCCAACAATTTAGAATTATTGAATAATTCTAAAATTCAAAAAGAAAGCCAGCACTGTATCCTTTTAAAAAATGTATCAAACTTTGCAACCTTATCACTTAGATATTTTTTAGAGAATGGGTGATTTAAGTGTAACATAGAATAATTGTTTTCATAAAAATATGTGCTAATCGTGAGTGGTCAAAACCAGAGGTGGGTTGCTCCCGGTTTTACTACCGGTTTACTTCATGTGCGCGCAGTTCAGTGTAAATTGTTCTTTGTGCATGTGCAGAACAACTTACAGTGAATTGCGCATGCCTGCGCACTACTAAACAACATGCCGGCAGCAGCAACTGGGGAACCAGTTCAGGGATGTGGCCAGCCTGGGTCACTGCTGGTTCTGCAACCCAGGCCAAAATACCACTTTCGGTTTGGCCAAACTGGGAGCAATCCACTTCTGGTCAAAACCATCAAAATGCTTCTTCTTGATTAAACACGGAGGATATTTTCCTTCTTAGCAATTTCAGTAATTTGTACCCCAGGCAAACGGTCCATTTTTAACTGAGAGAAACCGTACAAGCCTCCAGTCTATGCTTGATTGAACGCAAAATTTCCCTTGTTAAGCAAGACAGTTGTTAAATGAATTGTCACCCATTTTATGACCTTTTGCCATGGTTGCTAAGTGAATCATTGCAGTTGTTAAGCGAATCGTGCGGTCGTTAAGCGAATCTGGCTTCCCCATTGACTTTGCTTGTCAGAAGCTCCCTAAGAAAGTTGCAAATGACAATCCCAGGATCCCGGACACTCCAACCAATGGTGGGGTTTGAACTGGTGGTGGTTTGACGGCCCGGGTCTCTGGAACCAGCAGCAACCCAGGCCTGCCACATCCCAAACTGGTTCGCCATCTTGTTTTTTGCTTCTGCACATGCGCAGGGCAATTTTTATTGCACTGGGCATGCATGAGAGTGTGGCATGGCCAGAAGCGAACTGGCAGTAGTGATTGCCAGGACTCACCCCTGACTTCAACCATTGTAAATACATGCCGTTGCCAATCATCCAAGGTTTGGTCATGTGACTACGGGAATGCTGCAGTGCTCATGTATGAAAATTGGTCATAGGTCACTTTTTTTCAGTGCCTTTGTAACTTTGTGAACAGTCATTAAACGAATGGTTGTAATTCGAAGAGTATTTGTCCTGAGTAATTGCTATTGGCCCATGGTTAGGAAGGTGGTAGGATTTCACCAATATCCGTTAACCTTCTTGTGCACTAAACCAAAGCCATGATGGTATTGCAAATCTGTTGGTCTCAAAAATTATCTGACCCAGAGTGACCCTCTTAGAGCCTAATATATAGGTAGTCCTCCACTTATAACAGTTCATTTAGTGACTTAAAAGTTACAGCGGCTCTGAAAAAACTGACTTATGATCGTTTTCCACACTTATGATTGTTGTAGCATCCCCATGGACATGTGACCATAATTCAGATGCTTGGCTACTGATTCACATTTATGATGGCTGAGGTATCCTGGGGTCATGTGATCAGCTTTTGCAACCTTCTGACAAGCAAAGTCAATGGAGAAGCCTTATTCACTTAACCACCAGGATACTAATTTAACAAATACAACAATTCAGTTAACAACTGTGGCAAGAAACGTCGTAAAATAAGCCAAACTCACTTAACAAATGTCTCACTTAGCAATCTACATTTTGGGCTCAATTGTAGTTGCAACTCAAGGACTACCCCTATTTGCTTTCTGACCTTTGACTATATTAACGACAACAAGAGTTTAATATGAACTGGATTTTAGCTGTGAATCTTAATTCTTATTTCCGGCATCGCAATAATTGAAAACCCTGAAATATATATATATATATATATATATACTGTTAGAACAATTAATCAGTGGTACAACTTGCCTAAGCAGGGGATTGGACTGGAAGACCTCCTAGGTCCTTTCCAACTCTGTTATTCTGTTATATACTAGATTGATTTTTTTAAAAAAAATAATTGAAGTATCTAGATAAAAAGATAGAATTTTCAAGTGTGCTTTTTTCCCTATCATGCTCTTTGAAATGATGAAAGATTTACTCAAATTGTACTTGATCACATTACATCCATGCCATATGATTACCTTGCCAGAAATAGGGATGGCTGGCCATTGCTCCATTCTAGGATATCTTTTTCATCTCTCTGGTGTAGTCTATAGCCCCAATATTTTCTGGTAGTCATCCTTTCAAGGATAATCAAATTTAATCCAGGTAAGCTTTTTGAAATCAGCTCAAGTCAGCTACACACTGCCATCTGCTGGGCTTCAGAATCATATCAAGATCCATTTTGTTCATAATATTTAATGAACTTCCTTAGAAATGATTATTGGTTGACAATCAATTTTTGATTTTGACGGGCCATCTCTATTATGTTGTACTAATAAAGTTGCATTTTAATTTCAAATTTAGCTTAATGCAATATGTGAATCAGTCTTTGTAAACTAGGGGTTTTAC